CGCGTTCTGCTCTAGAGAAGGCGGCAGCGTCGTTCGGACGAGTGGCGGCTGAGCATCGAGGGCACCGTTGACATTCGCCCCGAGGTGAAGAAGATCTCACTCGGTTGGGGAGTGCGCCAGCATCGCCCACCCGGAAGACAAGTCCGGTGTGTTCGCGGTGTCTCCGCAGCGACTCAACGTCGTCCGTTGAGCCTTCAGCTGCACTCGTCGCGGTTGGGCCCGGCGTTGCAAATCAGTACCGGGAGAGTGGATTTGGGGTTGTTTCTAACCCTAATTCATTCCCGATCAAGGGGTGAGCATCCACTCCTAAACCCCTGTCCCACCTCCTACCATGCATGCGTCTAGTTCTTCTGATCTCCAATTCAGGGTATCATGGGAATTCAATTCTAAAATTCCTAAGGTTGATTTTTCCTAGATTTGATGGTGATCATCCTGACAAGTAACTCAGTGATTGCTTAGGATTACTTTAGCCTCTATCGTATTGAGTCCACTTCATGGGGTGCGTATCGCTCAGCCTTCGCATTTTGTTGGGGCTGCTAAGCGCTGGTACAATTCTGTAGAATCTCAGCTTCAGGGTGTGGTTGGAAAATCCTGTCCACAAATTTGTCATGAATCGTTTAGGAAGGGATCACCATGGGCTCTTATTACACCAGCTTTTTCTTAAATCCGCTAAACTAGCTTTGATAGCTGAGTATATAGAACAATTCTCTGCTATTGTTGATCAGTTAGGGGCCTATCCTTAGAACTACACAGATCCATTGTTTTACACCATGAGGTTTATAGATGGCTTGAAAGATCACATTAGGTACACCCTGTTTCTCACATGCCCCCAGGTTGGGATACTGCTTGTGTCCTGGGTACAATTGCAGGAGGACCTGGTAGCGCCGTGGAAGCAGGAGGTTCGCAAGTGGGACATATCGTCCGGGCCAAGCTGTTAAGCTAGGGCGGCCCGTTTTCTCTACCTCTACCACCGGCACGCTGTTCGACAAAACTGACAAGTAAGCGGTGGAACTCAAGCTCTGTTCGGACATCGACCAAGCTCCATCTGTTGATGAAAGATGGGAAGCCTGGTGCTCGCTCAGGCACTCTCGAAGGCACATGTTCCTTTGTGGCAGTAAGACGTCACGGGATCTACAGGTGCCCTCAAGCTGTTCAACTTCAAGTATTGGAGGAAGTTTCGGAGATTATTCTCGGTGGAAGAATCAGCCGGGGCCTTCTGGCCTTGATGGTTGAAGAATCTGAACCAGCATAGCTTCAGTTGATTCTGTCCTCCGTGGCTGCAGTTTCTGGGGAGTATCTGCTCCTCTCCGCACTATAGTACTTTTGATGGTCTTCATGGCTCAGTCCCAATTAAGCCCATACTACTTGATTCGAGAAGTTCTCATACATTTGTCAGTGAATCTGTTGCTGCTCATATAAAGATTTGGCACCCCTGTCTAACCAATAATTAGAGTCCAAGTTGCTAATGGTCAGGTTTTGTCCTGTACTCAATTCATTAATTCTGCAGTATGTTCTGTTCAGGGATTGCAATTTCAAGTCTGATATCAAGGTGCTGCCGCTATCCTCTTATGACATGATATTGGGCTTAGACTGGTTAGAGAGTCACAGCCCCATGCAAAGTTCACTGGCCTCACCAATGGCTCAAGATTCCTTATGGGGGTACCACAGTTCCAGCCGCATCGTTTACTGTCTTCTATTCCCAGAGGGATCTATTATACCCGATTCGCAGCAACAGATACATCTGATGCAATTCCACCCTGATATGGACACCTGAGATTAAGCAGCTCCTGCATGATTTTGATGTGCTATTTCAGCAACCTTCCCAGCTGCCTCCTCAGGCAGATCTGATCATTCCATCCCTCTGGTCCAGGGAGCTGGTGCAGTGTTTTATGAGGCCCTACCGCTTTGTTCCAGCAGTTAAGGATGAAATCGAGAAACAAGTTCATGAAATGCTTCGCTTCAGGTCTTATACAGAAAAGCTCTAACCCGTTCTCTTCCCACCTGTCTTGCTTGTAAGGAAGAAGGATAATACCTAAGCGTTTTGTGTGGATTACAGGCAGTTAAAACTCTATTACAATGAAGAGCAAATACCGGTGCCGTTGATAGATGAATTACTTGATGAATTAGGATAAGCTTCTTGGTTTACCAAACTGGACCCAAGATCAGGATTCCATCAGATTCTGTTACAGCGGGTGAAAATTACAAACGGCTTTCCGAATCATTTTGGTCCATTGAATTTCAAGCATCATGCCTTTCAGGTTAACTGGTGCCCTGGGTACATTCCAGGAAGCAATGAACTCAACTTTGGCCCCATTCTACGTGATATTTGTTCTAGTATTCTTCGATGATATCTTGATCTTCAGCAAGACATATGAAGAGCATCTTATACACATCCAGCAAGTATTTCAGTTGCTTTAGGACATGAGGGAAACCAAAGCTGTCCAAATGTAAAAGCGCTTTGCCCAGCTGCAGTATTCAATATCTGGGACATGTTATTTCTAGTGATGGAGTTGCTACAGATCCAGAGAAGATATCAGCTGCATCCAGTTGGCCTACTCCTGTGTCTGTTAAAGAATTGAGGGGCTTCTTGGGGCTAGCCGGCTACTACCGCAAATTTGTAAGGGAATTTTGGCCTCATTGCAAAGCCACTGATAGAACTCCTCCAGAAGAACACAATCTTTCATTGGACACCAGCCATGAGCAGTTCTTTCAGGCACTGAAACAAGCATTAATCTCAGCACCAGTTCTCGCATTGCCTAACTTTTCTCGGCCTTTGCTATAGAAACTGATGCTGGCGCTGGGAATTGAGCTGTACTTACTCAGGATGGTCACCCACTCGCACATACATCAGTCGTGGGTACTTTGGGCCTCGGTCACGTGGGTTGAAACAACGATGTGAGTACATAGCAGTTTTGCTAGCTGTTCAGCAGTGGCGCCTAATATCTACAGTTCAGCGGTTCACTATATTCACTGATCAACAAAGCCTGGTGCAGTTAACTGATCAGCGACTCCATACCCGTGGCAACAAAGCTATTTACCAAACTATTGGGGCTTCAGTACCGTATCGTTTACAAGCTTGGCAGTGCAAATCGGGCAGCCGATGTTCTCTCCCCGCCGGTCTGATCCTGAGTCATCTTGTGCCGCGATTATCCGTGGTTACTCCGTGAGTGGATTCAGCTGGTAACAGAAGGGTATGCTAATGATCCTTTTTACTCAGTCTATGATTGCTTTCGCCTGGTAGTTGATCCACAATCTGTGCCCAACTTCTCACCTGCGTGATGGGGTTCTATGTCTCCATAACCATATCTAGATTGGCGAGAACCCAGCAATGCACTAGCGGCTTATTCAGGCCTATCATTCCAGCGCACTGGGTGGCATTCCGATTTCCAGCAGCGACACTGCGTATGAAGCGTTTGTTTGCACTGTTGCGGCATGAAGGCGGCAGTTCGTGAGTTTGTCAGCTCCTGTATCACCTGCCAGCGCGCCAAGCTGACCATTCGCGACTTCCTGGTTTACTTCAACCACTACCAGTGCTGGCTGCTGTGACGGCAGATCATTTCTCTTGACTTTGTGGAGGGCCTTCCTGATCTAAGCAGGTGAACTATATATAGGTTGTGATTGACTCTTTCACCAAGTACGGTCATTTCTTGCCATTGTCCCACCCTTTTCCCTACGGCTGGTGTGGCCAAGTTGTTCCTGGATCAAGTTTTATCGGCTACACGGTCTTCCTACTGCCATTATATCAGATCGAGATCGCATCTTTACAAGCCATTTTTGAAAGGAGTTATTCAAACTGGCAGATGTGCACAACTTCAGATGAGCTCCAGTTACCATCCGCAGTCTAATGGCGGACCAAACAACTGAATTAGTCGATGGAGACCTATCTGAGGTGCTTTGTCAACGCTTGTCCGTCCAAGTGGTCCACCTGGCTTCCTTTTGGCCGAGTTCTGGTATAATGCCTCTACCCACTCTGCCATTGGTATTTTTCCATTCGAAGCTTTATATGGATATCCTCCACGCCCATTTTGGCCAATCTGCTCTGGATGCTGTTACGATGCCTGACCTCTGTTTTGGCTTCAAGATCGTGCTGTTATGAATGATCTCATCCTCCAGCACCTGTCCAGAGCAAAGGAACGCATGAAGGCAAGTCGACAAGAACCGCTTCGGAGAGGCAGTTTTAGGTGGGTGATATGGTGTTCCTCAAGATGCAACCCTATGTTCAATCCACTTTAGCTGCTCGTGCAAATCAGAAGCTGGCCTTCAAGTATTATGGACCCTTCAAAATACTTGCTCGAGTGGGTTTTGTAGCGTACAAGCTAGAATTGCCATCACCAACCTCCATCCACCCGGTGTTTTATGTGTCCCAATTGAAAGCAAGCTATACTTCCTGGTACTCTGGTAACCCCTTCTTCCTGCTGACATTGAACTTCATCGTATTCCAGAGGAAATCCTGCAGCGCCGAGTGATATCGGTGGACTCCAACCCCGTTGAGCAAGGACGGGTGCTATGGTCTGGTTGGCCGAAGGAAATGGCAACTTGGGAATCGCTGGAATCTCTTCGTCCAGCTTTTCCCAGAGCTCCTGCTTGGGGACAAGCAGCTACTCAAGCCCCAGGAATGTTAGCAGCCCAAAATACTACGGCCGGCCAACAATACGAAGTCCCTATGCAAAGGAGCACGTGAGCGTCGGCCCAACAAGAATGTCGCCGGTGAGATGTGGGCGGAGTGTCTGTGTGCATGAGTCCAGGGCGTAGCTCATGTAATCGCCAGTATATCAGTAGACCAAAGTGAGTGACGAGGAGTATCAAACTTGTATGAACCAACTGAACTCTGCCTAAGAACTCCTCGCCGATTCACCCCAATTCCTCCGCTTGCTGTTCGTCCAACTTCCACTCTTCCACAATTGCTTCAATCCCAACTCTATTACTTCTAGCACAATTGTACCACCTGAAATTAAAAAGCACACAATAGTAGTTGTACTCTCGCTTCATCGGTCATCACAATTCACAAACAGTACGAACTGAAAGAGACCCAATCTACTACGCACCAGTCAGTACTACACAAGCGCGCCTAAAGCATCGGTTACGAGTACAGAAGAATCCTAAAGTACAGTACACGCACTGCTACTGGCCACCGTGCTGCCCTCGACTGGCGGCCCATCCGTCAGGAGCTGCGAAACCCATTCATCATCGACATCCTCCTCCTCCTCTCCCGCCACTGGCTCGGGGAACTGGCCACGTCAAAGGCCACGGCTCCGCCAGGTGGCGCCGGCGGCGCACTCCGCACGCCCGTCCACGGACGCCATCACCGTGGACGCCGGCCCCGACAGCGATGGCCCACAGCTCTCTTTCTTCTCGCTCACTGTCGGCGGCGGCAGCGGCAGAGCGTTGGCCCCGGCGGCGAGCTTGATCTCGAGCTCAAACCAGCTCATGAGCTCGGCGACGGACTCCTCCGTGATGCCCTCGTGCTCGTCGTAGTCCTCCGCGTCCAGGCACTCCGCCACCATGCCGACCACCGCCGCCAGCTCCGACGCCTCCATCCCTGTGGCTCTACGCTACGCAGCTGCTGAACTGAAAGTGCTGATCGAGTCGAGTGGGGCGGAGGCAGTGGCTTGCGTGGAGAAATGGCGATGGCCGGCGCGGGCTCGCCATTTATACTGCCACGCGGGCGAGCGATATGGATAGGCCAGTGGAGACCGTCGGATCACGAACGTGCACTCCCACAGCTGCTGGATCCCGCCATGGGACTATTGGCTTCAAGATCGTGCTGTTATGAATGATCTCATCCTCCAGCCTAGGACCTTTTCTTGGAGTTTTTGTGGATCGTGGTGCACTTCGAAATTGCGATCTTTTCCACGAGGCAGGAGGTTTGTGATATCGTGCAGCACTACAGCTGCAGGGGCCTGTAGAGGGCAGACTGCAGTGGGCAGTGCGGCATTGACGACCTGAACCTGACCCTGCTACCACTGCCACTCGTACAAGCCCGCTTCCTCTCAAAAACTGAAAAATACGGCGAATAGTTAGGCCCCATTTAGATTTCAAAAAATTTTACGCAGTAGTACCATCACATCGAGTCTTACTTGTACATACATGGAATACTAAATGTGAGACAAAAAAAACTAATTGCACAATTGAGTGAGAAATCGCGAGATTTAAACTTTTTTGAACCTAATTAGTCTATAATTAAACACTGATTGTCAAATACAAACGAAAATGTTACAAATTTAGATCTAAACGGGGCCTTAAGTTCTTCCTCTTCGTCCTTTCGCAGCTGAAGGACTCCTCTCATTTAAAACATTGCTTGTTAGTGGTTACTTACACTCACATTGAGTAGTAGGAAAATAATAATGTTAACGACACGCCTCCGAAGAAACTATTCCGCTTGAGTACTGTATTTTCTATAGTGTTTGGCTCACCGGGTGGGATGGGAATGGGAGCATCCAAGGAGAACCTACCTTGAAGATTTGAGATGAACTAAAAAAACGACCGCTCACCCCCCTCAAAAAAAACATCGAGAAATCAAATAATTTCAAATTTGATTAAATTTATAAAAATAGCATTTACATTTGTATTTTAAAAGGTTTACCAGCAAAAGAATGGTTATCGCACCCACGTTATATAAAAAAATGGCTAGTTTTTGAGCAAACTAAACCCACGCTTGATCCACGCTAACTTTTAGAAGTTGATAGAGGCCCATTACGCTTGAACTTATCACCGGACTTATCTGGCTTAGAATCTACAATATTTTTCTTTCACAACAAATCAGCCAAGGACGGCTTATCGATCGGCTTTAATACCAAATTTAACAGGCTAGGTTAATTTACCTTTTGAGATTGTGGAACTTGGCTTATAAAGTTGGTGGTTGTTTGGATACCATCACAAGGTTAGGGTCTCTCCATGCCAAGTTTTTTTAATATTGGGGATTTGTCTCCTTTTTTAATGGCGACGAAGAGGTATTGTGGATTTGGTTTTTCTCCATGATGACTCTAATGAAGATGAAGATAACAACTACAGGTCGCTAGAACTTCCTCTTGACATGACGACATGGACATTTAGGTTTTGTATCGGCGACATCAAGGCGAGACGATGTTGCCACCGATGGAATAATTTTCTCCTATCTCTTCTCGCTTGTTTTGGTTGGATCTCACCACGATGAAGCACAAGTGAGAATAAGTTTGCCCCTTAAGCCAATTAATGGTATTGAGTTGAAAATTCAGATCATTTTTTCTTATTCTTCCGCAAGGTATGGCGAAGAAGAAGGAAGACCCAAGAAAGAAGAAGTTTATGCTCAATTCCACCTATAAGAATGTTGGATCCCGCTTCTCCGTGAGCACCCTGCTCTCGTGCCTTTTACCGAGTGTTTACTCTATGTGATCATCCATATGAATTGTCATATAGGTTTGGGATTAAGATTTGGAGCTATATGAAGCATGGGTACAATGTAGATAAAGAACAATTTCTAGGTATACGTATTGTATTCCAGAGTGCTTGTAACATGATGATGTACTCAGCTATAATTTAATATAATTCTTCTTTGCCGAGTGTTTACCTATGTGATCATCCATATGAATTGTCATATAGGTTTGGGATTGAGATTTGGAGCTATATGAAGCATGTGTACAATGTAGATAAAGAACAATTTCTAGGTATAATGTGATTGTATTCCGTAGTGCTTGTAACATGATGATGTACTTAGCTATAATTTAATATAATTCTTCTTTCGTCTAAAAAAGATCATAGCTTCTAGAAGCTAGATTGTGAATCTGAGAGGATTCAAACAAGCCCTAACAAAGGAGTCGCCAAAGCTCACACTGTGGAGAGACGCTGTGCCAAGGATATCGGCCGGGTTGTCCGAGGTCGTGTAATCTAACCTAGGATGTCATCCTTGGTCGCTTGGATCAAGCGATTAACAAAGAACATATAGGATGGAAGAGCTTAAGTTGGGAAAAGGAGTATGTACTACATTGTGTAGTTGGATTACCTCAATCGGTCGTGATTCTCTAGTATACATAGATAGGTGGTTTTATCCCAAAAGATCAAACCTTTTCCGAACGAAATATGTAATTCACACAGATTGGGTAAGTTCACACTAAATTAGTTTTAAATTGAACTCGGACAAGGAAAAACTGGCTTAAATTGTTCTCCATCCACGTTTTCTTCATCTTGACTTCAAATTAGGCGATCTATATATGTTCTTCAATCGCCTTGACGAGATAAAGCAGAATGGTGAAGTCCATTCTTAAATTTAGATAACTTTACAAAACCAGCTTAGCTTGTTTCTACTGGATAATTCTCCCAAGGTTGTAATTTTTTTTCTTCCAGACTCTAAATTAGACGATTTATATATTTCTTTAATCGTGTCTCAATGAGAGAAACACAATGATGGAGTCTAGTTTGTATTTTGACAAAGTGTAAAATTGGCTTAGCCGGTTTGGAAAATAAGCCGCTGGAAATTCTGAACTCAGCTTCCTTTGACAGTTTTGGCTGTCAACAGTATTGCTTGTTAAAATTAAAATAAATCCAATGTTGATTGTGCATCTATGAGGCAACTACAATAAATATTATAAAATTGAATCTACATATATATATAGGATAAATCAGACTACTCCCTTTGTCCCTAAATAATGTTGTTATTGGTAAGCGTACACAAGTTTGATTTGATTTGTAGAAAATACGTGCAACATTTGTATTCCAAATAAATTTATTAAAAACTAGATTCAAAGATCTTTCTAATAATACTAATTATGTACCATTAATAATAATATTTTTTTTAATATATATTTAGTTAAAGTTGTTTCTAGAAACAAAAAACGATAGATATTTAGGGTAAAAGGGAGTACTGATATCCGGTCCATGAGGACGGGAAGACCGCCTCTCATGGTGCTGGGTGTTTGTTCCACCTCCTAAACTTTAGTCATTGTCTTATCATATGTTTGGCACATGCATGGAGTATTAAATATAAACTAATTATGAAACTAAATACATAGATTGAGATTAAGTTGTGAGATAAATTTTTAAACCTAATTAGTCTATGATTTGATAATATGGTGCTATAGAAAACATGTGCTAATGATAGATTAATTAGGTTTAATAAATTTGTCTCGCGAATGACTGACGGATTCTATAATTTATTATTTTATTAGTATTCGAATATCCTGTGCGATACTTCATGTGATATTCAAAAGACGTCTCTTATACTTTAGTTCTGTCTCCAACCACAACAGAGAACTCTTCTGCCTTGCTTCATGGCTGCCTACCCCCTGCGGCCTGCCGGTGCATTTATTGGAGGCTCAGGATCTTCACATCCGGAGCATTGAGCCCGTGTTTAGTCGGCCAATTTGGGAATTTAGGCTACCGTAGCACTTTCGTTTTTATTTAACAATTAGTGTTCAATCATGAACTAATTAGGCTCAAAACATCTGCCTCGTGATTTTCCACCAAACTGTGCAATTAATTTTTTCGTCTACATTTAATACTCCATGCACGATCGGAAGATTCGATGTGATGGCTACTGTAGCACTTTTAGGATTTTGGGTTTAGAACTAAACGCTGCCTGACAGTCAAGCGATCACAGTCGACAGGAGGAGTAAATGTCGCAGCGTGGTGTTAGATGATAGATATCTTCACCTGTGTCTATGTACATTGTATCTTGTAGATAGAATCAGTTCCTAATTTGTAGCTAGCGATCTTATCTCTTATAACAAATCTGTAACAACTCTTGTATAACATGCCACCACCACTGCGGGCTGTTCCCCGCCTATATAACATGAAACCGAGGACCAGGGAAAGGTTACTCGTTAACCCAAATCTTTACATGGTATCTAGAGCCTATCTCCTCACGGAGCTTTCATCATGTCCTCCTCCGCTTGGCAACAGCACGCCAGTCTTTCCTCCCTCGGTTTCCTGCCGGTCAGCGAAAACTGACCTGTGGGAACTTCCCACTATGGCGCTGTCAAGTCCTCTCCTCAATCTGAGGAGCGGAGGTCTTCGAGTTCCTTAGCCCTACAGCCAAACCACCAGCCCAGTATCTTCCCAAGAAGAAACCCGATGACATTTAAGGAGGTCCCGATCCCAACAAGGAGTACAGCACATGGGTGGCGAAGGACCAACAGGTCCTGAGCTACCTCCTTGTCTCTCTGTCTCGAGAGATCCTACAGCAGGTGTCGACTGCAACGACGGACACCGAGCGTCCAACAGTATTGCTTGTTAAAATTAAAATAAATCCAATGTTGATTGTGCATCTATGAGGCAACTACAATAAATATTATAAAATTGAATCTACATATATATAGGATAAATCAGGACTACTCCCTTTGTCCCTAAATAACTGTTGTTATTGGTGTGCGTGCCACAAGTTTGACTTGATTTGTAGAAAATGCGTGCAACATTTGTATCTCCAAATAAATTTATTAAAAACTAGATTCAAAGATCTTTCTAATAATACTAATTATATACCATTAATAATAATTTTTTAATATATATTTAGTTAAAGTTGTTTCTCGAGAAACAAAAACGATAGATATTTAGGGTAAAAGGGAGT